TTATTTTTTGCAACTAACAATAAGTGTGCGAACAGTTGTTAAAAAGTTGTTACTATAAAAAATGTTGATTAATTTACAAGAAACTAATAAACAGTATATTTGTACTTATATAACAGAGAAATAACAGAGAAAACCTATCATTATTCATATACCATAAAAGTTTTTACAGTTAATTAAACAGTTTTTTTTTTTCTGTCGTTTCTGATCGTCTCAAATATATCATAAAACTGTTTGAGTAAAGAGGAGCGAAAAAAAAAGTGTGAAGAGCGAAGTGAGAAATTAAGGGAGGAGAAAGATGTTGAAACTTTTTTGGATAACTTTGAATGTTACTGAATGCTTTCAGACTAATGAACAGCATACATCTAAACTTTGTTACGTAAATCTCAAAACTTTTGGTAATTTGAACTAAGAATAGCAAAAAAAAAAGGTAAAAAACTTAAAAAATTTTTTTGCAAACATTAAGATATTTAAAATATAAATGACAAGGTTTAGTATACTTAAAACCAAGAAACTAATCATCCAAAAAAAAAGAGCACAAGGCATAAAAGCAAATTGTTCTGTTATTTGAGATCAAACTTACTGATAGACATTAAACAACGGTTAACAGAAGCTAAAAAGCAGTAAAAAATATCTGTAATAGATTTTCAAAGATTTATTGGTGCTCTGTATTTTAAACTGTTCATATTTAGTTCTTCTTTTATGTAATTCTCAAATTTCCATATTGTCACATCATTGTTTTAAACTAAAACAAAACTGAAAGCTTATAAAGAAAGTGTCGAAGTCATAGAAGAAAATTTGTAGAGATTAGACAATTCAAAAGAAATTTTCTTCTTTTTTTTTTTGTTTTAAAAACTTGTAATCTGTATAATAATAAAGAAACAAAAAAATATTTTCATATCCAATCTATACTGTAATTTGGTAGATGTAAACTTTTTTTCTTGTTATTACATTTGACAGAAGCAATGTGACAGCAAAATTATCTGAAAATCAGTGATAATCTTGGTAAATCTGTAAAACTATATGCTATCTAAAAATTAGTTTTGATGGTAAGTTTGAGGAACTGAAACACTTAAAACAACAGCAGCAAAATAGTTAAAATAACTAAAATTTTAGTTTATTACATTGAGGAGTTTATTCTTTCTTTACAATACAATTTGCAATTGCTGCCACAATACAATACCTTTTACTTTTTGTTGTTTAGTTGTAACAAAATATACTGTCTATTCAATAGAGTGTTAATTATAATTCTGATGAACAGAGTATAAATTTAGCTATTGATAAAAATTATTAAAAGAAAAAGGGGAAAGTTTACTGAAAAATCAAATTATTTATTATTCTTTTTTTTTTTTTTTACAATTTTTATTGATATCTCTAAGATAATTATTGCAAAATGTTGACAAATATTTACAAGCTGTATCTGTTGTCTGGTTAAAAAAAAAAAACCAAAAAAAAAAAGAGTTGAAAGAAAAAAAAAAACGAAGAGAAGAAAAAAGTTAAAAAGTTTGATCTATAAATGTTGTTCTGCTCAAAAGTGTTTAATCAGTAAGATAAAATCCGGTCAGTTTTAAAGGCTGATAAAAGCTTGAACAAGTTTCTTTGTTGCTTATCAACTTAAAAAATTGCTCTCGTTGTTGGTGTCACCACTGTTAACTGGTCGTTTTCAATTTTTCAGCTAATTTTTTT